TGGTAACCATTAGTTTTCCTTCTCTGGGCTAACTTTGAAGGCACTGAACTGTTACAGCTGTTAGCAAGTAGTTAGAGAGTTAATTAGGGAGTATCTAAGTTCTGGTAGGTAAGTAATAAGCAAAACACACAGATAAAAAATGCTGTTAAAAAGGGAGGTCATTTTGGGGGGAAAGATCCAATAAAATAGCAGGAAGAGTTTATTTTTGGCTAACCAGTTATATTATTGCTACACACATACAGCATTCTCTCTAACCTCACAGGAGCAGGTCCCTCACCCAGCTTCCTTATTAAGGCCAGATCACTGTGTGTCCTAGGTTTCTGGCCAGTTTGTTTTTCATGAAGCAAACATGTCCCCAGAGAAAAATATCAAACCACAAAACAAACAAGTATGTATAAAGCAACAGATAAATCAAAAGGCAACAGTCTTTCCTCAAACCCTATGAGAACACCCAGGCTCTATACTTCTCTCCAACAACACAAACTTCCCCCTCCTCCTTTTCTCTCTGCTCCTGGAGCTTTTAAGCATCTTCGTGACTCCACCCCACCTTCATGGCTCTGTTCCCTCATCAGTTGCAGCTACTGTCACCCTTCCAACCAGGCAGACTCTTAACTGCTGACTACTTGCAGCTGGGTTTCAGGATGGGCTACAGACTGAGCACCTCTTTACACCTCAATAATAATCAGTAGTCCTAAGAATCCTAAGAAAAGAAAACAAGCTAAAAATAGTCAAGACCTAATGGGTTTTCAATTAGTGTAGTCTCAATAATATTCTTAGACTCCCAGCACCCCTGTAAATTGAACTGCACCCTATTTCCAAAACTAACTGATTGCAGTGTTTACTTCCTGACACAGGGGACAGGTTTGGGGCCCAGGGGTAGAGGAGAAAGGGGAAGTGTCTGGGCAGGGGTGAGTCTGCGCTTACCTCTTCACAGAGCATGTCTACATGAGACACCAACTGAGCAGTATCCCAGTACTACTGCGTAGTAGCATTGTGTGGCAAAAACAGTGACACAAAGTTAACATGCAGTAGTATTAGGCTACTGCGCAGTAGTGTCATGAAAAAAGACGTTTGTCAGCAGTACTGCACAGTAACTCAGGTTACTGTGAAGTCATTTAGTCCTTGTATAAATAAGGACTAAATGACTGCACAGTAATGACTGCACAGTCAGCATCTCGTGTAGACGTGGCCACAGTAGTGTAACTTGGGGTGGGCACCAACTTAGTCGAGGCACCTGAATTGTACTCTCAATCCCAAGGAGTCTATGCCTTGGCAGCAGAAGCAGCCCCATGGCATTGCTCTTGAAGCTGTGGCTGGGTACATATACCACGTGATGCTGTAGGAGCAACAACAGGGCAGCCTAGTGCTATAGCAAGGGGGGGCAAGCAGGGCGACCGCCCCAGGCACCGAAGTGAAGGGGTGCCAACAGGCGCTGCCCAGCTGGGGCAATGCACGGGAGTGAGCTGCGAGCGGCTCATTTGGGGGGATGTGGGGACGACGAGAGGGTGGCTCCCACCACTGCATACACTCTCGGGCAAGCATGGGGAGGGGTATGTGCCCCCTGGATCTGTGCATGAGATGAGGGCAGGCTGGTGCTATGGACTTTCCCCCAGGCACCAAATTTCCTTGCCACAGTACTGAGGCAGACAGACCATGGTACAGCAGCTGCAGCCAGGGACTGCTTTTGCTTTCAGTATAGGTGAGACTCCTGTGCTACCCCCAGCCCCATGCTCTCAGAAGCCCTGCCCCTCCAGCACTCAGTGGCACCTCTCTATCCCTCCCGCCCCCTGCTGTCCCACAGCAAACCCTGCTTGTTATACCTCTGCCTCTTCACACCCTGTAGTACCCTTCACAGGACCTCCTGGCACCCCACTTAAAAATAACTGGTCTACAAATTGCAAGTTTTATTTCAGAAATTGTTGTTATGAATCTTCCCAGTTTCTGTCAGAGACCACATTTACATTAATTGGAACTGAAAACCTCTTGTCAGAGGCAAAGAGACTGTGGACCATTTGCAGGCTGTGTCATTGGTTCATAAACACTCTGTGTAATCTTAAACTTGAGAATGCAGATGCTGACAGAGCAACCATTCCAGGCCCTCAATCTTTAAAACAAGTTTGGTTTTAATGAAGAAAGAAACACATCTTCCCCAGTAATACCAAATACATACAGCAGATATATGGAAGAGGAAGGAAAAGAAAGGAAAGGAAAACTGACCCCAAACCTAATAATACAGAGCGAATGAACAAGATCATACTTATTATGGCAGCCAATTTACATTTTACTAAGTAAAAATGTTTACTATTTGAAGGGTATTTTTTTAAAAGGCAATCTTCTGTGAAATGTACTGAAATATAGTGCTGATCACAAGCATGGTGTTCAACAAAGTATAACAGAAGGCTAAATGCTCAGTGTCGCAGGGCACCTTGGTGCCCTGCTCCTAGAGAGTGGAAACTGCCAGGGAGAGAGCCCTGGCAGGACATAACGAGCACAGCTGCGGGTTGCCCGGGGCAACCAGGAAGTCAGCTGACCGGAGGGGGCAGGGCCTGGCCCTCATAAAGCCCAGGGCTGAGGGCAGGCTGGCAGCTCCCTGCCAGCAGCCAAAGGGGCAGGAGTTCCCTCAGCCAGGATGTGGGGAAAAAGCCTGATTGCAAGTATAGTTCATGATAGCTCTGGAGGCTTGAGCAATGATGCTAAGTTATAGCCAGGCGACTTCTGTGGTTATAGCCAGGCAGCTTATAGTTATGTTGTAGCCTAGGGGCTTGTGGTTTTGTTGTTGTTGTTTATTACCCCGGTGGCTAGGGTGAGGCTATAAGGGGTTGGAGGAGGCCTCAGGGGGAACCCCCAGCGGTGTGGGAACCCTGGCGCCAGGGAGGGCGCAGCGTACTCATTGGGGACTTGCAATGAAGTGTGAGGACCCCAGCGCCAGAACAGGTGCAGCATACTCAGGGGGGACCCACAGTGGTGTGGGGGCCCCAGCGCCAATGCAGGTGCAGTGTTCTTAGGGGGGGAACCCCCAGCAGTGTGGGAACCCCAGTGCCAGTGAGGGCGCAGTATCTTTAAAGGGGCCTCACAGTGGAGTGTGAGGACCCCGGTGCCCAGGAGGGTGCAGCATATGGGGTGCATAGACCCCAGCCCTAGAGAGGGGCATTTGAGAGAGCCCCAGAGGGGGTACTACTGAGCAGCCCAGTGTGAGCGTGGTGAGCCCCCGGAGAAGGGCGGAGTGCCATGGTAAACCCTGGCGAGAGGGGGGGGTAGCGGTGCGGTGAGCCCGGGAGAAAGGGGGTAGCAGTGCAGTGGGCCTGAGAGTTAGGTGGCATAGCCAGGAAGTCCCAGAGTGGGTGCAGAAGTCCCCAGGAGAGGGGCGACATTACAGGGAAGGCCCCAGAGACAGGCATGAAGATAGACAGAGAGACAGACCAACATCTATCCCATCCGCGAGGCTTGGGGCGTGGTATAGGGTGGTTGGAGCCACGCATAGCCCATAAGGCTAGGGTGCCTGGGAAGCACCCATCATACAGGGAGACCCCCGGTGGGTCCGGGAAAACACGGGGACAGAGGTCCCAGCTAACCGTGCCCAAGGAGACGTGAGGCAGTCTCCCAACTTTACCTAAACATCAAAGACTTGGCGGGCGAGAATCTGAGGGTGCCCTTGGGCTGACTTGGCATGGAGAGGGGGCCTTAAGGAGATCACGGCCCTCCTGTAGGACCCCGCCGTGACACTCGGGTTTTCTCTGAAATGGCACCTACAGTTTTGCAAGTTCAGGCTTTTGCCCATGCTTTCTCATGTATACCTTGGAAAACTGAAACTTGTATATGTGGAAATCAGACAGCAAAAATTGCTAGTGTGTCCTTTTGTTCAACATGTATAAGTTGTAAGCTTAAAAAAAAAAAGGCTCCAAAGCAAGACACTCAAAGGTGAACGAATGTGAGAATGATGGTTGCCGGGGCATGTTTTCATACTGCAGGAACCTGCTTCATTTTGTGCAGTGCTCTTTTACTGTTCACTCTTTGTGCCATCCTGACTCTCCACACTTGCCTACCTTCCTTTGTCTACGGTGCAGCTTCAGTTTTCCTCCTTGGTATGAAGAAACATTAGTGCATGTGCAACACTTTCCTAGGTCTCCCACTTCCCACTCCCTCCATTTTGTATTCTTCTGGTGGGTCTCATTTCCTTCCCACAGCCTTCCTTCTAGTTTTTAAACTTGTTTTCTCCCTATCTTTAGTCTGCTTGTATCCTCTTTGCATTACTACCCACTCTATGCATGAGACTTCTACCTCATTATCTGGTCCCCCTTCTGTGTTATAAATTTTAATAAAGTTTTAAGGAACTTTTGGGTCTTATACTGGGAAATGTTAGACCTATTTAATAATAGGAGATTCAAATGGTCCTGCCTATAATTAAAGCCCAGAAATTTAGCAGTAGCCTTTACAGAAACTACAGCTCTGATGCTTGTACGTAGGTAGCATTTGCATTATTGTATAATAGACCACATGTACATTAAACTTCCTTTGCTAATAGGATGTTCCACACACAGGGTGTGTCTATATTTGCATTTATGCTGCATTAAATTTACTGCACAGTAAGTGGGAATAGGTTAGCGTCTACATATACAGGTGACCTGGGACTAGATTTAGTCTCAAGTCAGAGCAGGTTACCATGTGCCCCTGTGGCCACTGGAGGGAGCTCCAGTCTCTGGCCCCATGGCTGCCAGCAATTGGCAGCCATGCTGAGGTCAAAGGCAGCTGTCAGCATGTGGCAGCCATCTTAAGGGCTCATCCCCACCCACCCACAGAGCCCTGCCCTGCCCCTGCCCAAAAGCCCTGTGCCCAGCCATGAACATCTCTGTAACCCCCTGTGCCACTTGCAAGCGTGTTTTGCCCTTCCTGTCTCCTTTATAGTTGACAGCTTGTTGTCTGGTCAGATGCCTTGGAAGGTCCTTAGTGGTTTATCACCTGTCATGTCTTGTTGGTAAAGGTTATTATTGGGAGGATGCTTTTAAGTCCTGCCTCCCCTGGTTCCTTCCTTCAATCTTTCCATCCGGTTTCCCAAGTCGGGGCTCTGCCTCCCCTACATCCCACCTTATGCCAACCACAGATGTTAATTCCAGGATGTGACTAAGACAAAGTCCGCTCATCATGGTAAGGATTTTAGCCTTCTTAGGTTCAAAAGTCAAGTTTGGATGGTGTACCATCCTGCTTTGGGCTGCATGCTAACCGACCTGTAATTTTACCCGTCCCTGGTTACCTTGCTCTCAAGCATGCTCCTTTCTCTCTCTGGTTTGGACTTACAGCAGACTAAGGTTCTTCCTCTCTCTCTCTCTCCTCCCCAAGGCTCGTCGCTGATCCACTCCTGGCTGACTGCGTCCGGGATCCAGGGCTCCATCCCAGGTAAGGACTTAGGCTCTGCTGAACTCATATTGTCTTGGCATGCCCCCTCCTTGGGATGCCACCACATGCCCTCGTAGGGGCGATAGACAGCTCCAGGCTGCTCTGGGCCCTCCAGAGGACCCACTTCCAGTCCTCTCTGATCACCGTCCGGTAGGGATTTTATTCTCCCCCCAGGGGGCTGGCCAGCAAACTGGCGTCAACATGCTATCATAAAATGTGTCCACACAGGTGCTAGTGCCTGCCCTGGCTCTCCTATGGCCTGCTGTGGTTTTTCACTTTTCATTCCCGGTGTGGTGCTTTCTTTTGCTGCAGCCCCTGTCTCACTGCATTTCTGGTCTCCAGTGGTGTCCCACCGGCGCCGCTCTTCTCTTGGCTCTCCTACCTAAGGTAAGTTTCTACTTATGGCGATGTTCCCACCACACATCCCCCTGCCTAAGTTGCCTTGTGGCAGTGGAGCCTCTTTGTCTTGGTCATCAATACCCTGATGTCTGCCCTTTTTGGGTCCACTACCTTCATATGTTTCATTACATCTGGACAAGAAATCTGCAACCTTGTTGGTTACTTCAGGCTTGTCACTGACAGAGAATTTAAAAGGCTGTAAGGACAAAGCCCAGTGTGTCATCCAGGCATTATCATTCTTTGTCTTGTTTAACTACTGCAGTGGAACATGGTTAGTCACCAACCTAAACTCTTTCCCAATCAAATAATAGTGAAAGTAATTGACCACCCATTTTATTGCCAAATATTCTCTCTTGATAGTGGAGTACCTTTTCTTAGCTGCGTTCAACTTTTTGCCGGCAAAGCTGACTGGTTGTTTTGTGCCCTTGCATTCTTGGCACAATACGGCTCCTATGGCCATATCTGACACATCTGTCTCCAGAATACAAATTTTGGAAAAGTCAGGTATTATAACTACAACATCACTGCACAGAGTTCTTTTGATGTCCCTGAAGGCCACTTCCATCTGGGGTATCCATTGCATGAAGCCGTGGACCTTCCCTCTTATAGCATCTGTCAGTGCCACCGCCTGTTCAGCAAAGCATAGAATTAATCTTCTATAGTAATTGGCCAAGCCTAGGAATAACCTCATCTGTTTCTTAGTCTGAGGGGGTAGGTAGTTTTCCATTATGGCTACCTTGCTTGCCAAAGGCCATACAGGGGCACGGCTAGGTAGTCACAGCCACATGGCCAAGGCACTTCACCACGGTCCTGCAAAGAAACAGAGGTGGGGGGTGAGCAGCAGTGGGGAGCAGATGCTGGCCATGGCGGCACAGGTGACAGCATTTGCCTGTGGCCGGAAAGCAGCTTGGGAGGGTGACAGCCCTGGCAGACCCAGGGGGCACATGGAGCCTGCTGGGGTGCTGTAGCCACAAGCAGCTCCCTGGAGCGTGTGCCCCAAAACGATTAAAAACAATGTATTGCTTTTAATTTATATGTTCAGTTTTACCAGCTATTAACTGAGAGAGTGCTAATATTTTCCTTTTATGGATTTTAGCCCATTTAGTTTTATTTTACTAGGGCTGTATGCAGTTAGTCCTTTCTCCAAATGTCTAATTATTATCCTTTGGTTATTCATATTGTGTTTCTCCCTTAAGCAATGTTTTCCTTTATTATTTATGTTAACTTTCCAAAGATTCCAGGTTTTATTCCAGAAATCATTGTTATGTTATGTTAGATTCTGCTGATATATGCAATATTCAAGTCTCTATATTATCTGTTTCTTTTTTAAAATATTTTTTTAGTTTGAGAAACATGAAGTATTATGCATTATGCAAGATTGTCAATGCTGCAATAATACACTTGCTCTCATACTGAATTGTATTTTTATGACAATGATAGCACTATATGGAAGGTTTTGTGCTCTATCTAAATTGCAAATGATTCTGCCCATTCCTACTTGTCCAAGAGACTGAAAGAAGGATTTGTATCAAGGTTATGATATTGGTTAAATTATTATTAGTGTAATAGCTGCATTGTAGAAACCTTTTTGGAAAAAAATGTCCAGAACTATGGATCCAGTCTTAAGCTGCCACTACTCATCTTTTGTAGTCATTAGTGCTTAAGTAATTCATAAGTAGGTAACCCTTCTGCTGAGCAACTGTCAGCAGCAACAAGGGCCAGGTTCAATTTTGGGCTACTAAATGTATTTCACCTTGGCTCAAGCCCCCACCCAAACCACATGGGAAACACTAAATGAATCACTAGGATGTCTAACAAAGCCAACAACCCCTCAGTCGCAAGCAGTATGAACACAAACCCCTGATTTATTACAGAGGCAAACACCCGAACACAACATACAGTAAAGACACTAAACACTGTCCTGGTTTAAAGTATACACTGTATCACCCCCTTACCCTATTGGGGAGCCTTCAACCTCAAGCTTGGCAGTCTGGAAGTTGGGGAGTCTTGACCCAAAAGAGGTTAGCCCCTGGGAATTTGGGTGTGTCACTGTCTGCTGGGGGCACTAGTTCCCTCTGTATTGCAAAGAGCCCTTCAGTGAGTTGATGTAACTCTTCTGAGCTGCTGCAGAGCACCAATCTCTGCTCCTGCCCTGGATTCCCCTCAAGGCAACTGTGCCAAAGTGCTGTGGAGAACTGATCTCTGTGCCTGCCTGAGTGGCTGTTGGGGTGAGCCCAAACCCCAGTCCAAACCCTGACTCACTGTACCACCTGGTCTCAGGCTCCAGCAAGCATTCCAGTGTTCCCCTTCCCCTCTGCAGAGGGGACCCGGGGGAAAAAACAGAGAGAGCCCCAGCCCAGGTAGCCTGAACATTTTAAATAACTTTTTGACCTCATCACAGGGTCCCAATCAAGAAGCAGCATCATTGGAACACTGCTAATGCAGGCCAATCAATTCAAAGGTGGTCAGTGCTCCAGGATTTGGCCAGAGTCACTAAACTGGTTTTACTGGTTCTGTTTAGAAAACTTAAGGCAATGGCCCAGACACCAGGGGCATTTATACACATACCTTTTAGTTCTCGGATGCACTGGAGATCCACTGTTTTGGTGCAGACTTGATTAATCAAGTCTGCTCTGCATGGGAGCTGATGTGCACCATGCTGTGCCACTTGCAGTTGTATAAGCAGCAAAATGTATGTGAGCGCAGAGAAAATGGTGGTGGTGCATTTTGAACTAAAGCACCTGTAATCTGGGTGGTACTCCAAGACATGCCCCCTCTTCAATTGAAGGGATCGGAGCAGGTGCATGAGCGCTGCGGGAGGCATAGCCGCCCTCCTTCCACTATAAAGCAGAGACAGATTACCAGTGGGGACTTAACCATATACCAGTGGAACATAACATATATACTAGGGCATATAGGATGCACTACAATATCCAAGGGGGACAGGGACTCAATAAAGGGTAGGCATTCACATTCATAGGCATGCTCATTCAGTTGACAAGAGACAGGTTTGACAAAATATAAGGTGCAGGCTGACACAACAGGAGACACCGGTTGATAAAATATGAAATGCAGAATAACAAAAGATACCAGGCACAGGCATCTGGGAGGGGAGAAAAGAGACAAGGACCCACTTTCTCTGACACAGATTTCCCCCTTTCACTTCCCTCACCCATAATTGACCCACATGGAAATCAAGCTCCAGTTTCCCCACAAAGTAGGCAAGAGCTCTACCACTCAGCCCCCAGAGTGTGCAAAACTGCTAGGGCTTTTGTCCTTCTGAGAGCCCTGTGCCCCACGCCGTGCTGCCCCACCTCTTGCTGGAGAATCTGAAAGCTGAGCTGGGAGCCTCTCATGCTGGCTGCATGCTGTGCTGCCCAGCCTCCTGCGGGGAGATCTGGGAGCTGAGCTGGGAGCCTCTCGTGCCAGCTGCATGCCACGCTGCCGAGAGCTCAACCGCCGCCTGCGGGTCCTGCTTCCCAGCTCTTGCCAGCTCTTCAAAGCTCCTTCTTTGTCATCCCTCGCTGGTCTCCCCCTGAGTCAGCTCTGCTGCCCCTTTTATTCTCCTCCAGGTGGCTGGAGGGGCCAATCTGGGGACATGAGGGGTGAGTCTTAATTCAGGTCCGGTTTCTCTACCTGGGCCCTGGGGAGGTGGGGGGAGGGGCAAGCTGTCCCCTTCTCCAGGGCCTGATTTGTGAGGAAAGGGAATCCCTTCCACCAATCATTTTTTACCCTTACAAAACCCCTGGGTCAAATCACTACCGGCTAGTCTGTCACACACCTCTGAGGTGTTTTAGTTCAAAAGCACACCGCTGCCATTTTCTTCATGCTGATGTGCATTTTGCCACTTATACAACTGTGAGTGTTGCAGCACTGGGCGCTTGCACCTGTAAAAATGCCCAATAAGGAGGATGGGAGGTGGCCCTCTCCTCTCCAGTTCTAGAGAAGCCACAATATACAACAATGATGTCACACAGAAAACGTGATCATGCTTTACAACCAAACAAGATAGACAGCAACATGAAACCAGAACACATTTTATAGTATACAAAATGACTTTTACACTTTGGGTATGCTACAAGTATACATTAAAACTGTTGTGTTCCTGAGTTAAGCATGTCTACTGAATGAAAGATTGGTACTGGCAAGTTGTGTTAAAATTTAATAATATTACACCTCACTTATTATGCAACCTGCTTCTCTACAGTCCAAAACTTATATTATTTACTGCTATTTTGGTTTTACCACTAATGCTGCATCTTGACTCTGACCAGCGTTTCTGTTTTCCTAGAACACTGGCATAAATCCATGGCTAAAGGAAATTGTGGGATTTCTTGAGGTCAGTGACAGAGCCAATAGCAGCAGAAACTTGATGCTCATCCTGAGGTATACACTATAAAAAACCTGAAAGATTAGTTTGGTCTTCTGCTTTGTATTTTATCACATGCTTTTCCTGATACAATGCATTACTGTTTTAAGCTAAGCTTGATGGTCATTAAAGTACTGAAAAATTGTTTAAGTAAAAACAAAATTAAATTCCCATGAAATTGCTTTTTTTGGTCTGCTGCATTTCCTTTTTTTCATTAGCCCACTGGAAAATCCTCAGGACTGCTGAAATGCTTGTGGCACGTTGGAATTTCCTTATAGTTCTTGCTTTTTAGGTCACTTGTCCAACCCTTATGATAGGTGCCCTCTTGTGAGTGACAATAGACATTTGTGTGATGTTGTATTGCAGGAAATAACTTGAAAATTCTTACAATGTAAACACTTAATAAAAATATAAAGATACAGTGTATTCATGTATACCCCAGTGCAAGTAAACTAATCTTTGCTTCCAAGTGCTCTCACACACAATCAAACACAAGTTTTTCCAAGAAGATTTAATTTTCACTCATGCTGGAAAAAATAAGACACAGCAGGGAGCTTTTCATGTACTGGTTGTAAAGAACCAATGTTCA